CCCTCTCTCCTCTGAACTTATGCCCACTCTGAGAGAAGCCTTAAGAAATGTAGGGCCGTATTTTCCGAGGAGTTGTAATCTCTCTAACTGCCACGTCACCCTTTTTCTTTACGGCACAAAAGTGCTCCGTGTTTCTCACAGGAGATTCCGATCAGGGCTTCTTCAGAAATGTGAATCTGCGTTTCCATTCTGACACATCCCTCATAACACAGAACTGTCAGGGAAAAGCAAATCATGCTCCCTTTTTTCACAGTCAGCTGCTGTATTCTGAAATTTGAAGGTCCAGAATCATAGCCATTTTTGACAGCTGCTTTCATCTGGTACCCTAACTTCACATGTACCATAAGGATAGTGTGTCAAATAGTGTTGGAGTGATTTGTGTAGTCTGATGGGTGGGACATTAGAGGTTGTCAAATTCAGGCATTGAACGGGTGTTGAGTCAGGGAGTTTAGAGGCATATTTTTGTGGGTTGTGAGGTAAGTTAGTTACTCAGGAGTTAGCCTAGATGGTTAAAGATCTAATATTTCCTAAGTAACTGTTTACTTTAGTGAAAGCCTCTGATTTCTGATTTTAATGGATCCTTTTGGAGGGTTCCAAGCATAGAGATTCTAAGAATCTTCAAATTCCTGGGCATTTCCTTCGCAGTCTGCTAAAATAGGGCTGCCACTGAGTCTCCATGTGCAACTCCCATCTATTCTTCAGAAATCACTCTGCCATTAGAAAAGCAAGGTCCTAATTTAACCCTCTGTACTGAACCTAGTAGAACTCGTTGCGGGTTTCTTTTTCCATATTTATGAAACCAAGACAAGATCTAAGCCTTTATAAAAATATTAAATGAAAGTATTGAAAGTAATCCAATGGTACAGGTAGTTCTCCTATAACGCGATAGTTGCGTTCTTGCGTGACCTCGTGCTATAGAAAATCGCATTATAGGGAAATCGCTCTAGAAAATCCCTCTACCTGTACAGCAGAAAGTTTGTGTTATCCAAACAGCGTCCACTATTCATCAGTCGCGTTACAGCCAATTCACGTTAACGAAACACATGTTACAGCATGTATATCTACATCTACCTGATGTAGATAAGAAAACATCAAATATCTCATCAATATCACTAAAAACAGGCTAATGCTAGTTGTTCATGTTAATTAAAATAGCTGTCACATACACCTACAGATGTCACTGTATAAAGTGCTTCATTATGTAATGTTTTGAGAGGTCATAAGGTGCAATATAAATGTGCTTTTGTTCTGGTCCTTTTTGGAACAAGAGGAGTGCCTGTACTTGATGTCAATGATGTACTTTATCAGAGAAGTAGCAGACTTTGTTACAAATTTGATGTAACAAATATCTGTCAATTTTGTTGCCAATTTTTTTTTTTTGAAAACCATATTGTTGCATCTTTTTTCATTTCTGCTCCCCAGCCATTGCCCAGTTTCTTTTTTTCCTCTGCCTCCTTCCATCCTTGTTACCCAGCTAATTTTGTCACCTTACAGGTACTTCCCCAGTCTTCCCCGCCCGCTCCCCCCCAAACCCTACTTACTACCCAACACCACTACCCTGCCTCTTTTCCATGATCAAATTCCTGTTCAGCATGCTTTGAAGTACAATTCAGGCACCTTTCTCAAACTCCTTGTATACAGCAACTCCTCCAAATGACAGACTTGTCAGTTTGGTTCAGTTTAACTGAAGTTGGACAGTTTTTTTTAATAAACAAGTCCCAACTGAGCTGTCAACAATTCTCACTAAGCTATGTGGCTGCACAGAGGTTTTGCACGTGCTGATTCGCATGCTGATGCATTGACCTCCTCATGAAGTCGCTGCCATGCAAGGATCTCTCAGGTCTGCACAGTAATAAATGATTAAAGGGATGTTGCCTGCCCATCACCACCTCGGCCTGTCTGCTGCTGAAAACTTCTTTACTGTTAGACTTGACTATTCCTCTCCTGGCCAGCCTCTGGTCTTGAATTCTGAGACCTTTAATCATCCAGAACTTCGTTACTTGTGTCCTACCCTACACCAAGTCCATCATCCATCCTTGTCGTAGAATATGAACAATAGTAGACCTCCAACTTGTCTTCTCTTGGCTTGATATTCATTCTTGTCTGATGAAGTGCCTCGGAATATTTTTCTACATTAATCATACTTTATTAAAGCAGGCTTTTTTTCTGTAGCTGGAGTAATGGTCATTTCTGGTGTCAGATGGCTGATTCTACCTCCAATTGGTAGTTCACTCTTCTGAACTGATATTGTATGTTTGCTCATCCAATATCACCATCCTTCTCTAGTTTATCTGCACTCTTTCCACACTCCCAATGCACGGAAAAGATGAAATTTTCTGTCCTATAAATACTGCACCTAATGTGTACATGCAATGTTATTTGAAAAGAGAAATGGAGTGTGCACTTTGACTAGGTTATGCAGCAGTGCAAGTAGAGCAATTTCAGAAAATCCACCCACTCGTTCAAAGTGCTAAATCTGGTTTATGACCCAGTGTCGCAATAGTTTAAAGACTATTGCTGAGTACTTTGTGGGAGAGCTGTTTTCTGCAGTGCTCTTCCTTGTGTTCTAATCCTGTCTCGTATGGTTTCCCATCTAGCTGAAGCAGCAGATAAGTTGGGAAAGAACATCAAACTGGTGGAACGTTTGGTAGAATGGTGTGATGCAAAGGATCATGCTGGCGTCATGGGTGAATCAAACAGGCTGCTATCGGCACTAATCAGACACAGCAAATCAAAGGTCTGTTTTGAGCAATGTTACTTTTTAAAGTCTCATGTCTTTGAGGTGAACTTGGGATTCTGCACTTCTCAGATGCTAAAATACACCAGTATTTCATAAAAGCTATCTTTATTTCTCTGAATTTTTTATTGTGGACTGAACTGGTAAAAGGAGTGTTTTAAAAACAAAGGATTGTGGAAGGGATTCCTAAACTTAAATTACCATCACTTATTGTAAATGTTGTTTAGACTGTTTGCTCAACCAGTGGGGGAAGTTTAGTTGCAAATGAGCTGGCACAGGGAATGTGTATGTAAGTGAAATTTATCCAGCAATGAGCAATTGAGTGGAGTGATGACTAGTTAATGACTGCAGCCTTCTATCTGTGCTCAACTATGTGATTGGCTCCCAATTAGCTGAACAAGTTGTGGATGTGAACGATATAGCCAGAAACCTTCAGACTTTTGAAAGGAGAAATGGTGTTCTTTTTCTCTGCAGAAAACAAATGCCTTAAGCCTCCCTCCCTCCCTAATATCTGTAAAGTATTGCTTTTGACCGCAAGTCGGAGACTGTGTTGTAAGTGATTCCTTGTGCCTCCTACAAGGAGTGAAAGTATCTTGAGAAGAACATTCAAGGAGCAGCAAGTCCTGGCAAGCCAGAAGGTTCATCTCAGTAAGCCTGTGGGCAGGGACCATTTCACTGCCTTCCCAGTCATTCCCTCTGCCCATTTTTGTTTTTTGTGTAAGTCCCCTGACACACATGCAGACAGACAAAAGGGGTGGGGACGATAGAGTTCCATTTTGACATTTCATAGGTGGTTTCCTGTAGCTAGAATCAATTTATTTGTAATAAGTACTGATTATTGTCAAGAACGGAAACCTGGTCTGCATTTTCTGTCAACCTGGTTCTAAAAGACAGGTAAATTGGGGAGTTTTGTACGCTTTGGTAAAATTTTGACCTTTTATCAAGTCTTCAGGAATAGCAAGGCTGTGTTTCCAGTATGCTGCCCCAATGAGGCGTGATATACGGTACTGAATAAATGGGCTGTTGTGTCTGTGGACTAGAATCAAAATGTATAACAAAAAAGTTATAGCAAAGACTAAATTTTACATACTTCTGTTAAAAGCAGGATCCAACAAAACTGCTAAATTGTACAGTCACCAAAGTGTTCGAAAAGAATCAGCTGAGTTTTGCATCAACACAGCATTTCCAGTCTGATAGCACACTTTTCTCTACTGAGGATTTGTAAAAGTTATGGCACAAATGTTTTTCAAGTTATTGTGACATTTGTATGTTCTAAGATATTGCAGTAAGTGTCATGTTCTGTGGTTTAAAAATCGTCTTGTAGCAATCTTATTTCATCAAGAAGCAAATGCGCAGATTTTATTGCAGTGTACTCACTGTTTACACTACCTGCTGTTTTATTTTCTTGCAGCTTTACTTAAAAGAGCTAATTCTGAGAGAGTTTGGCATATTATTCATCCTTCCTTCTCTGTGGATATCTAAGTGATAGCACCAAGAACCTGTTCCTGCTATTTATTTTTAAAAGTCAAATTAATGGAAACTTATTCAAGGTAGTAATTAGTAGTAAGGTGACAGTTCTAACGGAATGTATTTTATTCCTCTATGTATTTATATAGCATTACTCTATTTCAGAAGTAGGTACACAGGGTTACGAACTCCTAAGATTTGGCTATGTCTAATCAAATATATAATTGCCCATAACATAAGCTGGAGTATATAACAAAATAAGTGAATCTTCTAAAATGGAAATAGAACCTGCAGTCTTTGATAAATTGTTCAGTTTAATGTAGAAGCTACAGTAAATTATAACAAAAATACAAGTTTTAATGTTGGAGTTCCCTGTGAAAGATGGTGTAAACTTTTTTATTTAAATACAAGTAGGTTTCTACATTTCAAAATATTCGTTTATATGTGATTGAGTGACACAGTGGCATACTGGTTAGCACTGCTGCCTCTCAGCGCCAGGGATTCTGGTTCAATTCCAGTCTTGAACGACTGTCTAAGTGGAGTTTGCACATTCTTCCCTTCCACAATTTCCTCCCACAGTCCAAAGATATGCAGGTTAGGAGGATTGGCTATGCTAAATTGCCCCATAGTGACCAGGGATGTGCAGGCTAGGTGGATCAGCCATGGTAAATGCAGGGTTACAGGGATAGGCTGCAGGCGGTGATCTGCGTGGGATGCTGTTCACAGGGTTGATGCATACTTGGTGGGCCGAATGGCCTCTGGTTGCGCTGTAGGAATTCTATAATTGCAATTTTAATTCTCTTATTTCAGTAAAATCATACGTCAAAATCAAATTCCCTGGCACCATATTATTAATCCTGACTCGCTATTCCCAGTGGTGTATATTATATTTCCGAGCATCCTCAGCCCTCATGAGACAATCTTGTTTATTAATGATTCTGCAGCAGCCAACTGCATCTTTAACTTGTTCTTGTGCACACCTGTACAAAGTTCAAACATTTTGGCCCAAAACTTGCCAAAATGAAGCTAATTGTATGCCACTATTTATGCATAAATGCCACAGCAACTTTAACAGGGAAGATAAAAGTTCAAAGTAGAAATCAAAATGTTGCTGCAGAACGTGCTCCTTGACAATCTGTTTCATGTAAACAGCATCTTGCTGCCTGCCCCTTGAACTTTCAAATGGGTTAAGTGATAGATAAGAATTTTTCATAAAAGTAGTCCTTTCGAGTATTATTTTAATTGTGTTGCATACTAAGTCCTCTGACTCTGAAAATTAACTTTTAAATGTGGGGTGTTAAATCTTCAACTTTTCATTGTTGGAGAATTAAAACAATAATGTTTAAATTAATATTGTCCCTTTTTCGTTTTCTCCATCCAATCTTTCTCTTTATTTTTCTTTCTGTATCTGATTTGACTGAGTTTATCTATCATAACATGGTAGGGACTGAGAAATTAATTCTACATATCTTCAATCTGATTGTTTAAGAAGTTACAGGACTACATGCCTTTTGGGAAGAGCACGTGCTGTTTTTGTCTCCCTCACGGCAACTTAATGGAAAATGCTGCCTACCTACTCACGCTTGTCCTTGTTATTCTATCAACAGACACCTTTGGTTGCTCTGCCATAAAAGATTTTGGGCAGTAAAACTCTGAATAAAATTTGTGTAATTACAGAATTCTTCCATATTTCTACATAACTATATTTCTGTATTTATAAGAATATCTAAGCAGAAATAGGCCATTCAGCCCTTCAGGCTGCTCGGCCATTTAATATAATCATGGCTGATTGAAGGCTTCTTTGCCTTCTACTCGCACTATCCCCGTAGACACTTTTATGATTGATAATCAAAACTTCATTTACTTCTTCAAATATACTCAAAAGGCTGGACTTCCAATGTCCTGTAGGGTAGCAAATTTCAAAGATTCACAATGCTGAATAAAAGATATTTCTCATCTCCATCCTAAGTGGTATCCACTTTATATTTAAATTGTGCCCCAGTTTTTTTTTTAATTCATTCATGGGATGAGGGAGTCACTGGCCAGGTCAGCATTTATTGTCCATCTGTAATTGCCCAGAGGGCAGTTGAAAATCAACCAATTGCTGTGGGTCTGGAGTCACATGTAGGCCAGACCAGGTAAGGATGGCAGTTTCCTTCCCTAAAGGACATTAGTGAATCAGGTGGGTTTTTCTGACAACCGACAGTGGATTTAAGGTCATCATTGAACTCTTAATTCTAGATGTTTATTAAATTCAAATTCCACCATCTGCCATGGCAGGCCTCGAACCTAGGTCCTTGGATTAACAGTCCATCAATAATGCCACTAGGCCATTGCTTTCCTAGGGCACACAGCCTTTCCATGGTGAGTTCTACACTCATCAATCATGGAAAGCCTCCTGCCTACTATTTAAAGTATTTTGTAGGTTACAGTGAGATCACTTCTTAATCTTCCGTGCTTTCGAGAATGCAGGCCTACTTTGCCCAATTTCTCATCATTAGGACAGTCCCACCATCCCAGGAACAAGTCTGGTGAACCTTCATTGCAGTCATTCTCTGGCAATTGTATCTTTCCTGAGGTAAGGACCAAAACTAAATACTACTTCAGGTTCAGTCTGACCAAGCTCATGTGCAATTTCAGCAAGATTTCATTACTCCTGCCTGTACACAAAAATTCTCTTACAATAAAGGCTGACATTCCATTAGCCTTAATAGCTTGCTGTACCTACATGCTATCCTTCAGTGATTTTTCAACAAGGTCACCCGAGTCTTTTTTGCACACTTGAACTTTCCAAGCTCTCACCTTTTTAAGAAATACTCTGTACATCTGTTCTTTCTACCAAAGTGGGTAACTTCACGTTTTCACATTATATTCCATCTGCCATGTTCCTGTCCAAATCTTGAAAATATTGTACATCTTCACAGTGCATGTTCTGCTTGGCTTTATATCATTTGCAAATTTAGAAATATTACATTTGGCCCCCACATCCAATCATTGTGAATAACTGGGCTCCTTGGTCTACCCTACTAGTCAAAGCTTGTCAAACACGCAAATGATCCATTTATTCCTACTTTTGTTCTGTCTGTTAGTTAACGCTTTATCAATGCCAATGTATTACCTCCTATACCCATGTGCTTTTAACCAACCTACCTTGTCAGAAGCCTTATGAAAACCCATGTGTACTACATTCATTGAATCACCTTGATCAACTTTTGTTACTAACATCCTCAAAAGACACTAAAATGCTGGATGATGGAGATCGGAAACAAAAACAAAGTGCTGGAGAAACTTAGGTCTTTTTTTTTTCTCTCTTCTTTCTTAAATAGTGTGGTGACATTTTGCAAGCTTTTAATGTGCAGGAATCAGGCCAGAATCTAAGGAACTTGAAAAGATCACCATTGTATCAACTACCTCCATAGTCACCAACTTTTAACACCCTGGGATGTAGCTATCAGATCCCTGGGACCAGGAACCTTCTGCCCCTTCTTTATTATTACTAATTTTCTTGAAATCCTCATTTTCTCTAGTCACTTGGAAATCTCATTCTGGGAAATTTCATCTATCTTCCTCAGCAAAAACAGTAATCTTAAGTATTATTGTGACTTAGCATCTATAACGAATAAATTCAGGTGTGATAGAATTTTTGAGTGGAATCTGTACTGTTAAGCACAGAAGTTGCTACTTTGACAGTTTCATGCCCTCATTAAAATGAATTAATTTTGCTGAAAAAGACACTTTGAAGTTTTCCATCTTGTATTTGTATGCTAAACTTCATACAATTTGAAAAATTTATGCTGCAGGAGAAATGGCATTGCGTTGGAGAAAACACCTATTGAACAATAGACTTCCCAAGAATAATCCCATCAGGCAGGCTTTTTTTGTGGTTTGCAAGAAGCATGTTATTGTTTGTCTACTATTAGTTATGATTCTGCAATTGGACAGCATTTGCTGAACGACTTTGAGCGCACTAGTTCATGTAATTCATGCCATCTCAACCTGGCTCATTTATGTTTGCTACAAGCTGCACCATTCAGTATACAAGGATACATACCCTGTAAACAAAAGAACATGTTAATGTTTTACGCCTTTATTGATGGTCTTTTCTGGAAGTGAATTCAGATACCTATGCCCTGCCTGCATGTTAGTGTACAAATGCATCACAGAGCCATTCAAATTCCATGTTATAAGGACATTAAAGGGTTCCCTTTCTTTGTTCCACCTCGTTCTCTTGAAAATTGAGTGAGTTAAAAGAACTTTTGTTACCTTGAAGGTTTTTATGCTCTTTGGTACCAATTTAAAGCCAGTAAATACCTAAATGTTAATCAGTCATTTGACCTCACCAGTAATATGGATATTCTTTGATTTATGAATATTCAAACTCATTGCTGTTTAAAAACACTAACTGCTATCTTCCTGTCTTCTTTTGTAAGGATGTTGTCAAAGCCATCATTCAAAGTGGTGGTGTTAAGCATTTGGTCACTATGGCAACAAGTGAGCATGTTATAATGCAGAATGAAGCTCTTGTTGCTTTGGGATTGATTGCTGCTCTGGAACTTGGTGAGTAGTATGTTGCAACTTTAAGTTAGTTTTGTGGGAATAAAAAACCTCAAGCCTGTTGAGCATCACTCAACAAATAAGTATGCCTATGACTAGTATTTATTTTTCATCTCATTGCTTTGACTACCAAGTTGTTGTTAAACTATAGTTCCTGGAACATGATGAATATTTTGGACTTGGGCTGTTTGGGTTAATTTAATTGTTCAAGTGTTCAGTTCTTATGGCAGAGAGTTATACTGCTCATAAATAAAGCTTTTCCCTTCAGGTTTATAGTTGAAATTAGTGTTAACTAACTTCTCAAAAAGACTTCTTTGCAATTTTAGAGTCAGTTGTGCAGCACGGAAACAGACCCTTCGATCCAACTTGTCTATGCTGACCAAATATCCTAAATTACCCTAGTCCCATTTGCCAGCATTTGGCCCACATCCCTCTAAACCCTTCCTATTCATATACTCATCAAGATGCCTTTTAAATGTTGTAATTGTACCAGCCTCCTCCACTTCTGGTAGCTTGTTCCATACATGCACCACCCTTCTGTGTGAAAATGTTGCCCTTTAGGTCCGTTTTTAAATCTTTCTCCTCACAGATTTAACCTCTGCCGTCTAGTTTTGGACTCCCCCACCCTGGGGAAAAGACCATGGCTATTCACCCTATGCATTCCCTTCATGATTTTATCAACCTTTTTATAAAGTCACCCCTCAGCCTCTGCTCCAGGGAAAATAGCCCCAGCTTATTTAGCCTCTCCCTATAGCAGAAACCCTCCAATCCTGGCAACATCCTTGTAAATCTTTTCTGTTTCAAGTTTCACAACATCGTTCTTAAAGCAGGGAGACCAGAATTGCTCTCAGTTTTCCAAAAGTGGTACAATCAATGGCCTGTACAGCCGCAACATGGCCTCTCGACTCCTATACTCAATGCACTGACCAATAAAGACAAGCATACCAAATGCCACCTTCACTATCCTATCTACCTGTGACTCCACTTTCAAGGAACTATGAACTTGCAATCCAAGGTCTCTTTGTTCAGCAACGCTCTCTGGGACCTTACCATTAGGTGTATAAGTCTTGCCCTGATTTGCCTTTCCAAAATGCAGCACCTCATTTGTCTAAATTAAACTCCATCCTCAGTCCATTGGCCCATCTGATCAAGATCCCGTTGTACACTGAGGTCACCACCTTTGCTGTCCACTAGACCTCCAATTTTAGTGTCATCTGCAGACTTACTAACCATACCTCCTATGTTTACATCCAGATTTTTTTTTATATAAATGACGAAAAGCAGTTCTCCCAGCACCAATCCTTGTGGAACACCGTTGATCACAAGGCTTCAGTCTGAAAAGTAGCCCTCTTACCACCAGCCTCTATCTTCTACCATCAAGCCAGTTCTGTATCCAAATGACTAGTTCCCCCTCTATTCCATGTGATCTCACCTTGCTAACCAGTCTCCCATGAAGAGCCTTGTCAAACACCTTACTGAAGTCCATATAGATTACGTCCACTGCTCTGCCTTCATCAATCCTCTTCATTATTTCTTAAAAAAACTCAGTCAAGTTAATGAGACATGATTTCCCACATACCGTCATATTGACTATCCCTAATCAGTCCTTGCCTTTCCCAATACATGTAAATCTTGTCGCACAGGATTCCCTCCAACAACTTACTTATCACTGGCTTACCAGTCTATAATTCCTGGCTTTTCCATACCATCTTCCTTAAATATTGGCACCACATTAGCCAACCTCCAGTCTTGCCGAACCTCATCTGTGGCTATAAATGATACAGAATCTCAGCAAGGGGCCCTGCAATCACTTCCCTAGCTTCCCACAGAGTTCTATGGTACACCTCATCAGGTCCTGGGGATTTATACACCTTTATGCGTTTTAAGATGTCTAGCACCACCACTGTAATATGGATATTTTTCAAGATTATTGAATTATACAGAAAAGTGTAAACCGAATCCTCCCCCTTACCTGCACAGTGCACTATTCGTCTTTTATGAAGAAAGGAGAATATAATGCAAGGAGGATTGTGCCAAGTGAAAGTAAATGCCAGTCATTCAAACTTGCTCCGTCTCCAGCAGTTACAGATTAGTTGTTTGAAGTAGCCCTCATTCCCTGGACAAATAGAACCTCCTATGTAGTTTATGTAGGAGACAACAACAGTTGTCCCATGATGTAGTGAAGTAAATTTTCAGAACTCCATTGACCAGGAAGTTTTGATCCTCGAAACGCAAGAGCTCTGGAATCGGAGAGCACACCAGAAAACTACAGGTTCTGGTGCAGATTGAGAGTTTCTGAAATTATTTATCCTGACTGCTATTTTTTTGTCCTCTATTATTACCTTGCATTGTAGCTTTTTACCCTTGACTATAGATATTTGAACCTTAGTGAAAGATCACCCTGATTCCACTTTTTTAAAGCTGCTTCTTCAGTTGGCATGGCTATAATTAGTTCATTTTCAGCAAACCCCGCATTCACTCTGTGTTTTTGTCAGTAACTTTTCCTGAGCCCCTTCAACTGCTTACACAGCTTACACTTCTTAACATGGATTCATTAAACTTCCCTTCCACAGCCTTCTGTGTCTCAACTTTTTCTCTTACTGAGGTTGAGTCACTGAGTACTTTATTTCTGCCCTGACTCTTTGAGATTAGTAAACTACACTACAGCTGGCACAGGCTTTTTTAGCCTCTAAACAATCTACTTCACTCTGAGGGGCGGATGCAGGGAAAACCTGCACATTCACTGATCTTCTAAATAGTTATGTCGCCTTTTTTACAAAAAAAATTATTTTGTCTCTATCTCCCTATGTCATAGAACATCTCATTGCTCGGCAACAAGCCATTTTTTCTCTCCTACGCTTGGTTCTAAGTACTGAACTATTCCCTTGAGCATTGTTAAAAGCCTTATTTAAATGCATGTCAACAAATTTCATGAGCCTTCGCAACAATACACTATTCATTGACAAGTAATTTTTACATTCCTATAGTTCAACATCTCTTCAGTTTTCACCCCTTCATGTGGAACTCCTGCCAGTCATTTTTCAAACACAAATTATGTATTTATGGTAAAAATTCAGCAAAGCAAGTTGTCATTAAACTGATTCCAAATTTGTACCAGTTTCCATTTACACTGTATTCATAGAACTCAATTGACAGAAATGGAAACCATTGAATTTTCTTGGTCCAGATTGGAGAAACAAATCAGAGCTTTTCAGTAAGTTTATGCAGTCGTTTTGACAGCCTGTTGCTTCATCCTAAAAGCAAAAGAACAAGGGTGAAATGGGAGTTTTTAAAACCAAAACGAAGGACACTCTAGAGGAAATGCCTGCTGATTAATTGAAGTGCTACATCTTTATAAATAAATAATTAATATTATCTAAAATAAACAGCTTAAGATGCTTTGCAGTGTTTCCCTGACTGCATCAGTGAGAACAATAACTTTCGACATAGGAAATAGGCTGACACCTACAGTGCATTAGTGCACCTTAAGCACCTCATTGCTTTTTGATCTATGGCATTGTAGCTCTACAGATTCTGCAGATTAGTCTCATGGATGCATTTACAAAAAAAAATCAACCCATCCTCAAACACATTGTCCTTCCAAGTATTCAGTAGAGGAGTACTTCATTTTTGAATATTTTAAAAATATTAAACCAGCTTGAGCACTTTATCCGCCAACTGATTCAATTGAGCACACTTAACCAAATAACAAGTTCATTACAGGCTTGGATAAAAGCAAACTACTATGGATGCTGGAAATTTGAAACAAACAAGACAATGCTGGAGAAATTCAGCAGTATCAGTGGGGGGAGAGGTTATACGTTTTAGGCTTGAGCTCACTTCGGATAGCTGTAACCCATGCTAATTCACAACACGTTTTCGGTTTAGGAGAATTAATGTGATTAAAAGTGAAGCTTGAAATAATTTCTATTCGAGTACATTAAAAATCATTGGGCATAAGATTTGCAAGGGAATATTTAGCTTGGGATTTAAGTGCGGGTGAAGAGAAACCACTCCATGGAAAGTCAGTCATATCTTTGTTCATTCAATTTGATACACTTGAATTTATTTCTGATGTTCAGTTTTGATGAGCTTTTTGTTTTTGCCTTTATTTAGGTACAGCCGAACAGGATCTGGAGAATGCTAAACTGGTGGAAATTCTGCACAAATTGATTTCTGATGATTCCAGTGCACCTGAAATCAAGTACAACTCCATGATAATGATTTGTACCATAATGGGATCAGGTAAGGCTAATGGACAGAAGTAATCTGTGTTAAATAACTTTGTACCAACTGCACTATTTAAAATTGTAGACCAAGTATCTGCAATATAGAAACAGATTAATCAATCCACACAAGCCTCCGTCCTTGTCTCTCCATCTCACCCCATTGTCATACTTTTATTTCTTACTCCCTGGAGTTATCTAGCTTCCCCTTAAATCCATCTGTACTAATCTTTGGTGGCAAGTTCCACATTCTCCTCTCACTGGGTAAAATGTTTTGAATTCTTTATTTAATTTTAATGAAATTGCTAATAGATTTCTCGCCTGCAAATGAAAACATCTTTGTCTAGCGTTTCAAACCTTTCTTATTGTTGGTGGCCTCTTCCCTGCTGTTATCAGACTTTTGAACAGATCGCTTATGTTAATTTTCATGTCTCTCTGTCTCTCTGTACATCTTCTCTGCAGCTGTAATACTGCATTCTGCACTTTGTATGGTACAGTCTGCCTGTAGAGCACGCAAAACAACATTTTTCATTGTATCTTTGAGCATGTGACAACAATAAATCAATCTATTAATCCACAATATAAAAGCAACATATTGTAAAAGCTGGATAGGCACAGCGGTTCTGGCAGCATCTAAGTAGAGTGAAAGTAAGTTACCACCAATATGACTCTTCAGAACTGGAACTGTGGAATTAATGTTGTTTAAAACTGAGAAGGAAGGTCACGGAAAATTGAGACCAAGGTGTATGGAATGAAAGAGAAAGGGAGGGGAAATGGTGTGCAAAAGTCAAGTTTATAGATCCAGATTATGTGCTGATGAGATAATGAAGATGAGCTCTTGCTGAAACCAAAAGCAAGATAGAAAGACTAGGGTGGAAATATTATAATAGACAACAAAGTTCATGGTCTGCAGATATTGAATTCAATGTTTAGTCTAGAGGCTGTAAAATGAATTGTTGCTCCCCCTGTGTTGGGCTTACTGGAACACTGCAGCTAGTTAAGGACAGAAATGTGAGCATCAGAACAGGATGTCTATTTTGAGCCAGCAAGCACTGAGCATCAGCACCATGTTTATGGACTAAGCCGAGATGTGCCTCGAAGCAATCACCCAGTCTGCATTTGGTCTTCCCAGTGTAGCGGAGACTTAGTCTACTGCATCTGCTGTGCATATGTTGAAAGAAGTACAAGTGAATGCTGCTTACCTGGAAGAGAAAGGAGTTAAAAGGCTAAGTATTACACATTCTGTGAATTCGTGGGAAGGTGCCATGATGGGGGAGGGTGGCTGTGATAGTGTTGGTGATAATAGAGGATAGACCATGATATCTAGGGAGAGAATGGTGTTTACGAAATATTGAGGACCTAATGTCTCATGGTGGTTTCATTTTTGAAATGGCAGATGATTATGGAAGACAAATCCCTCCTTGTCTTCTATATAACTAACCATTTCCTTTGTCTTTTGTTGTATGATACCTCAGAATTATAGAATCCCTATAGTGTGGAAGCAGGCCATTTGGCCCATCATGTCCACACTGAATTTCCAAACCTTTTGATCTCCAGTCTCCGTTCACTTCTTCCCTCACCTAGCCTCAGTTCCACATAGTCCTCCTGCCACCAATTCAGTAGTATAAAACCCATGACTTTTCCACCTTTTCAGGTCCAAAGAGGAATCATTGGACTCAAAACATTAACTGCTTCTCAATTGAGCCATCTCTGCCTCTCCACTTCTGTGGGTGAGACAAGTCCCAGTCTATTCAATTTTCCTGCATTGAATAAAAATACACTACAGTGTAGTCTAAAACATCTGTGAAACTTAGTAAGAACAAACTGGAAGCCAGTGCACTAGATTTTTGCCTAAACATTAAACCTGTAATTTCACCTGGTAACAGGGCTGATGATAGTCAAACTGTGGCTGCTGCTGGCCATTTCAATTCCATACCTTCAGAAGTCATTTGGCATCTTTGTAGTAGCTGTGTTGATTAGATTTCTTGTACTTAATGTGAATGCCTGTTGAAGCTTAGCAGGCTATGCTTTTTTCTTTGTATGACTCATAATTTACTTTTCATACATTTCTGTTTTAACATTTTAACTTTGTTTTCCTTATTTTCTGCTTTGTAACTAAGAATCTGTGCCTAGGTACCTTTGTACCTAAGATGGCGTCATAAGTAGCAACTCATTATCCGTTCACTACTCCTGTGAATACATGTGACAATAAACCAAATTCAATTCAATTCAAATTTTGAATGGCCAAATACCGACATCAAAGTGCTAAGTATTTCCAAAAATGTTCTTTATTTCTGCATCTCAAGGTTTGTTTAGACTTGCAGTTCTCATCTAATCAAACAATTGAAAATTGCTCCAACAAAATGGGGGTCATGAAAATCCTGAATGTCAGTAAAACTGATGGAAGCTACATTGGAGAAATTACTGTGGCAAAGCTGAATTAGTGTTCAGTTATAATTAGAGTTGCTTGGAAGATCTTGAAAGACCCTAATTAATTTTTTCGTGGTTACATTCTAGCTACTCCTCCTAACCTAGTTTCTCCCATAGCAGTATTATGCTGCTTAATGACAGCTGACGCTTGTCAATTGTAGTTCTTTTATGGGTGAGAAACAAGGAAGCGGAAATTATTGAACAGTGTAAAATTGATTAATATTCCACTTTGTTCAATCGGTTGAATGTGAGTGATGATGGATATTGGGTCCTGAGTTTGTAACGGAAATAGGGTGGTTGGTGGTGACTCATCTTAGAGATTTTGACTCTACTTGAATAAATAATTATTGCTGATATCCTTAATTGGTGTGCTACACCCATTTAAGCAAATACCTACCCCATCACACCATTGTGAACCAAATCCTTCAAAATTCTATTTTTTTTTTGTTGTCCTATCATTACATTTCCTTTAGTGAGCCTGGTGAAATCTTAATTGCGGGATGTGACAGTTGATTATTGCCTTCCTCACTAAACTTTACAATCATGTGCCATGCACCATTAATGCAAGTTTTTTTCAATGCAAAAGTAATTCTGCTTTGTTCAGTAATGTTTTGAATATAGCCATCACCAGCTGTTTGCAGCTTTTCTCTCCCCTTTGTTCTCATTACAGGCTATTTCTACTGTTTTCTGAATGTCAGGGTGTACTAGAATTGTGTGGATCCAGAGTTTGTCCTCATTCCTGTGTTATTACCAAGTTCAATAATAGTGATGAATGGTGCATACCTGTTGTGAAGTTGATATGATTGATAGTGTTTTATTTAATTTATTTAATTTATTTAACTTTGTGAGGCTGCTACTACTGAATTGTCATTGCAACCATAAGTTTAACATCAATCTGACTTAATGTCGCACATTTTTCACTGTTATTGTGCATGTTTATATTTATGTTGTAAGCAAGATTTTCGGCTTTGTTTTTCAGAACTACTTAGGAAGGAAGCACAAAATATGCCATTCAAAGAGATTGTGTCAAAGCTTCGCCGCCATGAGAATAAACTTGTAGCCCAGCAAGCGTTAGTGACGGAGCAAAGACTGATTATTGAAAGCTGAGATTTGTTCCCCATTGCCTGTTCTTTAGTGTCTTGTCACTGGATCACCTTTGTCTGCTGTGAAATGCTGATGCGGTACCCTTGCTTCTCACCTCCCGTGCATGACTTAGATTGGTCCTGTCTTGACAAAAGAAAAGCTGGGACCAAGTACTTTCAGCTGTAAGCTGTGGTTTTAAAAAAAAAACTTAGCCATTTGTCCTCCCATGTCCACTTAATATCCCTTTAATGCCTGAAGCAATGTGGTAGAGCTTGCATGGTGTAGTAAAATAAAAATGTGGCAATGTTTATAGAAAAAAATAATGTACACCTCCCATACAGCTGCATTTGCATTTTGTACAGAACTGTAAAGCTATCAGTTGGAGAGGATGCAGAAATTAAACCTGGGTTTTCCTTTTAGATTCAGATATTGAAGCTTGCTCCATTCTTAACGCTTCCAAAAGCCCCACAAAAAACAAAATGGGAAAAGAAACTAGCGTGCATTGTCAGTCCTTCCAGGTGTCCAGATGTTGGCTGTTAATTATGTAAAATTGTGGTACCTAGAATTAATAAATTAAATCCAGAGTTCTAAGCTGTGTTCTGTCGTGTTTTAAGAGCAGGATTTATCAAATGGTATGAATGCCCCTTACTCCTGGTGAACTGTATTGCCTGGCCATTCTTAAAATGAGTTTGTTCACATTTACCCTTCACAAACAGTGCCTTTACAATCACACTCACTAATGATTTTCAGTAACATCGTATCAAATGTCTTAAATTTGACTCATAGCTGAAAACAGGAGCAGGAATAGGCCATTCATCCCTTTGAGTCTGCTGTACCATTCAATATGATTGTGGCTGATCATTCCATTTCAGCACCCTGTTCTTGCTTTCTCCCCACGCCTTATGATCCCTTTCGTTCTAAGAACTGGATCTAACTCCTCCTCAAACATTGTGTTTTGGCCTCAACCACTTGGTGATCGAGAATTCTAGAGGCTCACCACTCTGACATTTCACCTCATTGTGCATCATACACAATGTCATTGTGTTCCTCATCACCTGGTTATATTTCATGTCAATTGCCTACCCAAACAGCCACAGTACTGGTGTGTCTCACTTTTACTCCAGTCCAAATTCTGTTAGCATGTTCTTCAAATATTGCACCTGCCCCTCCTGTAACATTTCCATGAGCTTTAAGGGATTCTGGAATATGAATGTACAGTTGACTCTCATTACCAAAATTCTAAGGCAGGACAACATAAAATACTTCAAAGGCATTCTGACTTTTTCCTGGAAAAAGTGCAGCATTGTCCTTAATTTGAAAGAGGTGTTTGCTACCAGTCATTCAAATTAGTGACAACCTGTCCATCAAGTTATATTAGGTTTCAAGGTCCAGCATCTACATGTGGCAAAGCAGTCGCAGCAATGAAGCAAGCCCTGCTATCTGGGTCCCACAACCTCATGAGAAATCTTATCCCATTTGTGCCAAAGAAAACCAGCTCACTGAATCACACAAGCTGTGGCAGAAACTCTCAACCCTGAGTAGAGCTCATTGTCTTCCAGTCAATGGACTGATAATAATAGTTTAGACACTAGAGGGCAGCCTAGGCCTGGTCAGCTGAGGCTGGGACTGACTCCCACATTCTCATCAGCACTCCCCATCTTGGAACAGAACTGCTAGCCGCCTCTCTCCACAGTGATTTGGAAGTACTATCTGCTGCTGTGTCAACGTACAAGGCAAAGTGGAAAGGGGCTTTAGATGTTTAAACCAAAATCTGGCTCACTCAAATATCTGAATTTATTATGCTTCACTTCAGTATTGTGGTATTTTACAGAATGCATTTTTCTGGTGACCATATACTGGAAAACTTTACTGCTGGTGGTAACAACCTATTACTTGAGGACCTATTCATCAGCATTAACCTCAGTCATTATAAAATGAAAAGTGCAAGAAAATCTTTGATCAGTTAAGACAGCATTTGCAGAGAGAAACTGAGTTAACGCTTTAAGTTGCTGAGTTAGCTTTTGTCAGAACACAGCATTTTCAGCATCCTCTGCATTTAGTTTCTGTCAAATATCTGAATAAAGTTAGGAATGGTGGGGGAGATCGTACAGAGAAAAGGTGTTTGTATATTAATTGTCCATCATTAATGGATCAATTAGCAAATGTGTATTGATCTCCAGCTTGTTCACACTTCTCATCCACTGGGCTAAAATCAACTATAAAATATGTATTTCAATCTTATACCCACCCCCATCAAAATGTCACTGGCATTCTATTCTGGTATTGTGGAGAATTTCTTCAAAAACAACTTCCTCTTTAAATGGTTCAGAAGTAAGTAGACATTTATTTGCGTATGAATAAATAATGATGTTGGATATCTTTGTGAGCTGTTGACCAGCATAATGTGACAATTGTGCAAATATTCAAGTAAGGTTTATATTACATTGTCGGCTGAAAAAAGGTCAAAACAAAATTCTATAGTTTGTTCATTATAGCTGTTTAGAAGTCTGTGTTCAAGGACAAAGGAATTGAACAGCAAACGGGAAATACTAAAGTTAAATGTTAATTCCCTACGATCACGTTTTAGCAGTAAGTTGTAAATGCAAGGTTTGTGTACATCAGAAGGATTTCATTGAGGAGTGTGAAGGGACCATATAGTTTACTGCAGCGAATCTTCAAACCATATGCACTTCAACAAACAGCTTAGGGCTTCTGGAAACATTCCTGAACAGGTCATGCAGAATATTGATGCTTTTGCAAAATGTTATTTTTACTTATTATTTACAGGCTATTCAGCCCAGCTGATGTTCTCGCTGGTGTCTACAATCTACTTTCTAACAACAATTCCATCTTTAAATTAGACAAACAGGAGGCTGCAAGAACACAGCAAGCCAGGCAGCATCTGGAGAAAAGGAGAAGTCAACATTTCGCGTATTATCCTACTTCAGGATGTTCATCTTTAAATTAATCTGAGTGGGGAGAGTTTTGGGAGAAGAGAAATGTAGGCTTAAAATGCCAGAAGATATCTCAACTTTACAGGTAGCTGTTTTGGTAGTATAGGAAGGAACAGAATACACAAACAGAAAAACAGCAATAAATAGTTAAGGTGGGGTGAGGAGGGGAAGAATGGTTAAAAAAGCAACATTACTGACTACTTGCATGTACATAGTATTCAGAATAAAAAGCCTGTGTTTGTGCTGATACTGCAGTTAAACTGGTATGATTGTACAGCCATTACAGAAACCTAGTACAAGGAGACAATGACAGTTGGGGAGTAGTGGCAGATACTTAAGAAAATAATTCATGGCTCACTGCAAAGATTTATCCCTGTGAGGAAGAAGGATTCTAGGAAGGGAATAAACCAATCATTGTTAACCAGGGAAGTTGAGAATAGCATCAAATTTGTTTTTTTCCCCCCAATGTGGCAAAGATTTGTGGTAATCCAGAGGACTGGGAAAGGTTTAAAAACCAACACGACTATTATTTTTTAAAAAGTGGTTGAAGATTTACAGTAATGGTAAGTTTGCAAGTAATATCGAGGCTGGGGCGATATTAATCCAGAACCAGGAAATGCAGAAGCTGAATAGATACTTTGCATCAGTCTACAAAGTGCAAGACACCAACAGAATTCCAAAATTACTAAATAAGTGAACTAAAGGAAGATAATTTATTGATTTCCTATCACTAGAGAAAAATGCTTGGAGATCAATAAGACCCCTGGCTGAAGGTATACATTCTAGAACATTAAAGGAAGTAGGTACAGAAATAGTGGATACAGTGCTAGTAATCTTCCAAGAAACCTTAGATTCTAGAAAATCCCAAAGGATTGGAAAACGGCCAGTGTATCACCTTTATTTGAAAAGGGAAAGATTTTTTTTTAAAATAAACAGGAACTAAAGGTTAGTTAGCTTAAAATCTGTTTTTGGGGGAAATGTTAGTGTGTTATAAAGAACCTAATGGCAGAGCAGTTAGAAACACGTATGATTGGCTTCGTGGAGGGGAAGTCCTGAATGACAAATCTGCTGGAATTCTTTGAGAAAATAACAATTTGAATAGATCAAGTGGAAGCACTATATTTGGATTTTCAAAAGGTGTTTGATAAGGTAACACACATTAGGCTGCTTAAGACAAGTCCATGGTATTGGAGGTAGTGTATTAGTGTGGAAAGAGAGTTGACTCTTTAATAGAAGTCAGAAGGCTGGAATAAGGAGGGCATTTTCAGCATGCTAATCTGTAACTATTAGTGTGCCACAGCTAGGGCTGCAATTATATACAATATATACTAATGACTTGAATGAGGCAAGTGAATGGATTGTAGCCAAGTCTGCGGATGACACAAAAATAGGTGGAAAGGCAAATGGTGAAGATGGCAGAGTCTGCACAAGAATATAGACCGGTTCCATGAGTAGGCCAGAAAACTTGGCAGACAGTCCGTAATGTGGAGGAAAGGTGAGGTTATGCATTTTTGGCATGAAGAATAGAGGAACTGAATTTTTTTAAATGGAGAAAGACTGCAGAAAGCGACAGAACAGTGATTGAGCCGTCATGTATGAATCACAAACAGCTAACGCTCAGCAGATAAAGGAAAGCAAATGAACTTTATTTCAAAGGCATTTGAATAAAAATTGGGGAAGTCTTTCTAACTCACTAAACAAAACAATATGCAGACCATAGAAGGAATATTGTGAACAATTTTGGGGCACCTTATCTAAGGAAAGATATACTGACATTGGAGGCAGTCGTGAGAAGGTTTACTCGCCTGATGCTAGGAATGGAAGGACTGTCTTATTAGGACTAATTGAGGAGATTGGGCTTTGTATTCATTGGAGTACAGAGAAATGAGAGGTGACTTTATTAAAACATATAAGATTCTTAGGAGACTTGACAGGGTAGATGCAGAAAGGTTGTTTCCCCTTATGGGAAAGTCTAGCACCAGATAGCATCATCTCAGAATAAGCACTTACACATTTACCGGAGATGAGGAATTTCTTCTCTGAGGGTAGGGAATTTGTGGAATTGTTAATACTGAGGGCTGTTGAGGCTGAGTTGTTAAATATAGTCAAGACTGAAGTAGACTTTTAATCAGTAAGGGAATCAATGGCTGTGGGAAAAAGCCAGGAAAGTGGAAATGAGGATTATCAGATCAGCCACAATTAAATGGTGGGGCAGACTCAAATGTGGGAACTTTCAGCCCATTGTGGTCTTGCATTCACCCTATCAAATATCTTTTTATTTCTTTATCCCTCGTGTTTATCCAGCTTTCCCTTCAACATATCTATGCTATTCATCTCCACTATTCCTTGTGTTCCTCATTTTCACTACTTCCTTTGAATAAAAAGGTTTTTCCTGATTTGCCCATTGGATTTATTAGTGACTATCTTATATTCATATTGTTCTGGTCTTCCTCAGTGGAATCATTTTCTCGACACCTATCCTATGAAACATCTGCCTTTTTATAATCCCAAAGGTCTCTATCAGGTCAGCCACTGTCATCTTTGTTATGGAGAAAAGAGAGACAGCTTATTCAATCTTTCCTGATTGGTAATAACCTCTCAATTTTGGGAACGTTCTATAAAGACCTAGTCATAAAT